AGGCACCTCTTCGATTTCTGAAGCTCTGTCGAGTGCAGATTTTTATAGGGGCTGGCATTAAGTTCCAAAGCACACTTGAATCTCCACCAGTAGAAGCTCCATTCTTGCACTTCTAAGATCTTGATTTGTCCGACCTCTTCTCTCTTCAACACCTTTGAAAATGTCTGGCCCCTCCGACCGTCGTTTTGACTTGAACCTTGTTGAAGAGGCAGCCCCGCCTTCTCTAGACAACATATGGTGCCCATCCTTCGTCTCCCCTACTGGTCATCTTACCGTTGGGGATTCCGTGATGAAGAATGATATGACCGCTGCGGTGGTGGCCAGGAACCTTCTCACTCCCAAAGATAACAGACTACTTTCCAAACAGTCTAATGAGTTAGCTGTTAAGGATTCTCTGGCTCTCAGTGTTCAGTGTGCAGGTTCTGTGTCTAATATGGCCCAACGCCTATTTGCTCGAACCCGCCAAGTTGAATCATTGGCGGCTGAAGTGATGAGTCTCAAGCAGGAGATTAGAGGGCTCAAGCATGAGAATAAACAGTTGCACCGGCTCGCACATGACTATGCTACAAACATGAAGAGGAAGCTTGACCAGATGAAGGAATCTGATGGTCAGGTTTTACTTGATCATCAGAGATTTGTGGGTTTGTTCCAAAGGCATTTATTGCCTTCGTCTTCTGGGGCTGTACCGCATAATGAAGCTCCAAATGATCAACCTCTAATGCCTCCTCCTTCTAGGGTTCTATCCAGTACTGAGGCTCCGAATGATCCCCCTCCGGTGCCTTCTCTTTCTGGGGCTCTACCGACTGCTGAGACTTCTCCTAAGCCACCTTTGTGAAGGCTCCCTCTTGTTTTTTTATTTTGACTCATGTATATGTACATATTTGTAGCTTATCGGGGATATCAATAAATAAGCTTTCCTTCATTTCAACATATTGTGTTAAATACACCAAAGCCTTCTTCGCTAAGTTCTTTGAATTTTCTTTTGTTGAAGCTTTGTGAGTGGAACATGTAGGTTGAGGTAGTGTTCCCTTAATTTCTTGAGTGAGGAAAACTTCTCAGTTCACTGAGTGGGATCGACTATATGAATCTTAGAACGTCATTGTGCTCAGTCCTGTGTCATGTCCTTCATTAGATCCAAGTACTCCAAGTCTTTTCTTAGAGTCTCTTCCAAAGTTTTCCTAGGTCTTCCTCTACCCATTCGGCCCTGAACCCCTGTCCCATAGTCGCATCTTCTAATCGGAGCGTCAATAAGCCTTCTTTGCACATGTCCAAACCACCATAACCGATTTTCTCTCATCTTTCCTTCAATTTCGGCTACTCCTACTTTACCCCGAATATCCTCATTCCTAATCTTATCCTTTCTTATGTGCCCATACATCCAATGAAGCATCCTCATCTCCGCTACACCCATTTTGTGTACGTGTTGATGCTTCACCGCCCAACATTCTGTGACATACAACATCGCCGGCCTTATTGCCGTCCTATAAAATTTTCCCTTGAGCTTCAGTGGCATCCGGCGGTCACACAACACGCCGGATGCACTCTTCCACTTCATCCATCCAGCTTGTATTCTATAGTTGAGATCTCCATCTAATTCTCCGTTCTTTTGCAAGATAGATCCTAGGTAACGAAAACGGTCGCTCTTTGGTATTTCTTGATCTCCAATCCTCACCCCTAACTCGTTTTGGCCTCCATTTGCACTGAACTTGCACTCCATATATTCTGTCTTTGATCGGCTTAAGCGAAGACCTTTAGATTCCAACACTTCCCTCCAAAGGTTAAGCTTCGTATTTACCCCTTCCTGAGTTTCATCTATCAACACTATATCGTCTGCGAAAAGCATACACCAAGGAATATCCTCTTGAATATGTCCTGTTAACTCATCCATTACCAACGCAAAAAGGTAAGGACTTAAGGATGAGCCTTGATGTAATCCTACAGTTATGGGAAAGCTTTCAGTTTGTCCTTCATGAGTTCTTACGACAGTTTTCGCTCCTTCATACATATCCTTTATCGCTTGGATATATGCTACTCGTACTCCTTTCTTCTCTAAAATCCTCCAAAGAATGTCTCTTGGGACCCTATCATACGCTTTTTCCAAATCTATAAAGACCATGTGTAAATCCTTTTTCCCATCTCTATATCTTTCCATCAATCTTCGTAAGAGATAGATTGCCTCCATGGTTGAGCGCCCTGGCATGAACCCGAATTGGTTGTCCGAAACCCGTGTCTCTTGCCTCAATCTATGCTCAATGACTCTCTCCCAGAGCTTCATTGTATGACTCATTAGCTTAATACCTCTATAGTTCATGCAATTTTGTACGTCGCCCTTATTCTTGTAGATAGGCACCAAAGTGCTCGTTCGCCACTCATTTGGCATCTTCTTCGTTTTCAAAATCCTATTGAAAAGGTCAGTAAGCCATGTTATACCTGTCTCTCCCAAAACTTTCCACACTTCAATTGGTATATCATCTGGGCCTATTGCTTTTCTATGCTTCATCTTCTTCAAAGCTACAACTACTTCTTCCTTCCGGATTCGACGATAAAAAGAGTAGTTTCTGCACTCTTCTGAGTTACTCAACTCCCCTAAAGAAACACGCATTTCATGTCCTTCATTGAAAAGATTATGAAAATAACCTCTCCATCTGTCTTTTACCGCGTTTTCTGTAGCAAAAACCTTTCCATCCTCATCCTTGATGTACCTCACTTGGTTTAGGTCCCTTGTCTTCTTTTCCCTTGCTCTAGCTAGTTTATAGATATCCAACTCTCCTTCTTTGGTATCTAGTCGTTTATACATATCGTCGTAAGCCGCTAACTTAGCTTCTCTCACAGCTTTCTTCGCCTCTTGCTTCGCTTTTCTATACCTTTCACCATTTTCATCAGTCCTATCCTTGTATAGGGCTTTACAACATTCCTTCTTAGCGTTCACCTTTGTTTGTACCTCCTCATTCCACCACCAAGATTCCTTTTGGTGTGGGGCAAAAAAGGAATCTTGGTGGTGGAATGAGGAGGTACAAAACTTAAGAAAATCCCATCTTGTTATGATGTTAAAATTATGAAGCACAAATGAGCATGCACGTGAGAGTTGATATCTTACAATACCAAATACAGCAACTGCTGATTTCCTCATCTGTTTTTGCCTAACCATTCTGCTTGGATCTCTCATATAAGATGCAACTTGTTCACTAATATTCTGCAATTGGAAAAGGAAAAATGTATTCCTGGTGAATATCTGGCAAAGCATGGCACAAGTCCTTCATAGGGAAAGGCATGGTTACAAGTTCAATTATAGAGCCAGACCTGATTTAAACCATGCAGTTTGCTTTTAATAGAAGCAGCACATGTGGTCACCTCTGCCTTCCTTTGCCATTTTTTTATCGATTTGTTTATGAAAGTAGCTATTCTACAAGATATAACGTGACAGGTCTTAGTTAGACCAAGTAACCAACATGGAAATGTAAACAATAATGAAAAGTTGAACATAGTACAACAAATTTCTAAAATTCAAGCAAGAGAAGTTGTCGGATCATGAAAGAATTCATTGCAAAACTGCCCAAGAGTATACTTAAACTAAACATATGGCAACATAGATTTTTTTATAAGTATAATTTACAAATGCATTTCATGGTTCTTTGCCGGCCCCTTTAGATAGCAAACCAATTTAATTTAGTGCCTAATGGAATTTAAATTTCAGAAAACTATCGTCTGGTATATTTCATATTGAATAGTTGACGAACATAATAACATAATAGCCTCATTTATTAACCGATAAGAACCATGTATTAAAATATAACAAAAGTTCGACACCAAGGTATTGAAATACAGCAATAATAGTAAGGTGCTTGAATACACCAGTTACGAGAATTTTAACAATAAAACAACAAAACTCCAAAGTTCTTTTTGCTGCTCCAAATGGATCAGCAAAGTATGGCATGAAGAAGGAAAAAAAAATATTTCAGTATTATAGACAGACTTCAATACAATAAGAGCATATGTAGATAGTAGAATATGATTCTTCTTCTCAGAATGATTTAAGTACCTCGACAGCAACTCAGAAATCCATGACCGATCCTCATCACCATCAATGTTCGTAGATGATTGTGACATCTTAGATCGTCCAGATTTACCTTCAGAACAAGATATGTATTAGCAAATGCAATACATGAAGTTCATGAACATATGCAAACAGTACAAAGTAGGACAGTCAGTTAGACCATGGTAGCCCAAAAGCCAATTTTTTCGCTAAATCAGGCTAAGGTTTATGTGAGATCAAGCAGGAAAGATTTGTGCCGACATCCTAGGGCAATTTGAAATCTGGCTTCATCTTGGCTATCCTCAGATCAACAAAACAAGGCCCAACCGATTTACCTTCCATGTCAACATTATGCTTTTGACAACTGCAACAAATACCTACCTCTAGAGGGTAATTTAATTGATGTTTCTGTAATCAAAATCCCAAGGTGTCTAATGTTTGTCGAAAACAACTGTTTTTCTAACCAATTGGACTACTTTGAGCTTCCCACCGATTACGCGCAAACCATCACCTATTGGGACTGGCTTGTCCCCAATCAAAACTAAGCACAAACTTCACTACGATTCAGCAGACCCAATGCTGATGTTCCAAGATTTACATTAACAATTGAGCCGGTCCAAGCTCAAGCTCGACGCTTTGTGTTTTGGGATAAGCTTGAAAATGCTTTCTGAAGCAAGAATCTGAACTCAAGAGCTTTGTCCCACAGAGCCTTCAGAAAAATGAAAAACAAAAGGCATAGAAAATTGGTAAGAATAAACATCAATCAGACAATAACTCACTGTTGGATTTATGTCAACAATCTGTGATAATTTATATATGCTAATAAATAATAAATGCAATAGAAACTAACAGAATATAAACTAGAATATGAATTATAAAACAGACAACTTGAAGATCCAGGCTTGCGTACCGCAATGTCCTTGAAACAGAAATTTCGTCCCTACTCTGTGCTTGTAGTTCTACGGACGTCTGTTCCACCAGGATTCAACGATCTAAGTCAGAAATTCCAGCACCGGAAAATAGACTTCTGGCGAATATTAATGTGGTTCTCTCAGTAAGGATGTTTAAGATTGCAGGAGGAGATTTATGATTTTTCTATATTGTAAATGCCATGCAGATGGATGTATATATAATGTGATTGTACCTGTTCGCAACAGGTATAAAGAAGGGATGCAACTGTTGGGAGACATCTGCTGAAATGGGTGTTTTTGTTTCTGCGTTTTCACACTTCAGACTTCATCTGAAAAGATGAGTCTGTTGGAAAAAATAAATAAATAATTAATTTAAATTCGAAATTAAAAGTAATTAATTAATTCCGAAAATAATTAATTAATTTAATTATTAGAGCCCCAAGGCCCAAGGCCCATCTTTTGACAATTAAATATATATTAATTATATATTAATTACCAAATAATTAATACACCCCAAAGCCCAACCCCAAGGGTGAGCCCAATTTTAGTCTCCAGACCTATTACTCCAATTACTTTCTTTAAAGGACAAAGCCTTATAAAGTGATAAACTCTTTTGGGAATGGCCAATGTGGGACAAGGAAATTTCTACTCAAACTTCCAACACTCACTATAAATCTTTTCTTTTTTCAACTTTAAGGATTGGCATAAAAAGAAGCTTTAAACAAGGAGCAATAATTTCATGTTGACAAACAAAACCTATTCATGGATTTTACAAGAGCTACTATTTTGAACAACACACCTTTTGGTTCTTCATTGGTTGACCTTTAAGAATATCTTCGTCCTTATGACCCTTTAGATTCTTTAAAATATCTCTGCATGGGAACAGGGAATAAACGAAGAACAAAATTAACTTCATATGTCAGCCTATTGATATGTGCATATTTATGCGATTTAGTTAGCTTGTTTTCTTGCATTTTCATAGCTAGTTTCACTTATTAGAGTGTTTTAAGCTATTTTTGTGTGTTTTCAAATTCAAATGACAAAGTTGGCAAGAAAGTGCAATTTGGAGCATTTTGGAGCAGTTTTGGGCCAAGAATGGATAGCACATGCATGGAGCAAGGTGGATGGACGTTTTTGAAGATCAAAAGAGGCTAGGAATGTGCTAAAGAGATGGAGAAATTAATACAAGACATAGAAGATAAGAAATCAGCTAAATAGAATGAACATTATCCAAAACCTTATCCAAACATTATCCAAACTAACCTTAACATATCCTATCTTATTCAGCCTTATCTTATCTTATCCCATATTATCCAAACATTATCCTATTTAATCCAACATTATCTAAACTTATCTCCAGCTGCAAAAGGATTCCTTATCCTATTCTAAATCCTTCCCACTTGAATTTAGGAGTCATTATCCATCTAAACACATCAGTCCTTTTCCTCCTTGGTTTCTACCAATTAGCCTTTTCCTTGTGGGATTGGGGTGCCAAATCCTTTTCCAAAACTACCTTGTGTCGTGTGCCTAGCCCTATAAATACACCACACATCTACAACACACACATAAGAGCCTAAAATCAGAAAATACACAGAAATCCCTCTAGTGCCGTAGCTTTGCAAGGAAGGAATGAGAGGAAGAAGCTTGGAGCCGTACCTTCCATTCAAGGCGATTGGAGGGCTGGAGCGTTTCTAGGTGTATTCTATCTTTTGTTTTCAATGTTTATTTTCAATTGTCTTTGTTTAATTGCAAACATGTGGAACTAATTTCGTTTTAGCTAGAGGAGAATTCAAAGCCATGAACATATATGTGATATGACTTGATTACATCCAGTTATTGTTTCATAAATCGTGAATGCAATTTACTTATCTATTTGATTGATAACTTGTTCTTGTGTGATGATTAAAGATGCATACTTAGTTTGCATGCAAGGATTTGATGCTAAAATATAAGGGAGTTTCACTGATAGACGCATATTTATGCGACTTAGTTAACTAGTTTTCTTGCATTTACGTTATTAGTTCTTAGTTATTTTAGTACTTTAAGCTATTTTCGTGTGTTTGTAGGTCCAAAGGGCTAAGGTAGCAAGAAAGTGCATTTTGGTGCATTTTGGAGCAGTTTTGAGCTTGGAATGGATTACATATGATATGAGCAAGATGGATGGACGAATTTGAAGTCAAATGAGGATAGAAACATGCTAAAAATGTGGTGAAACAAATACAAAGTGCAAGAAGAGATAAATTTCTAGAAGGATTGGCCAAAACTTCACTAAAAACCATGCATACCTCATAAAATTCATCAATGCCGTGGCCTTCCCTTTGTTTCACTTCCACCAGATTTTTTAGTGATGATGCAATGCCTATCTCACCATGACATGTGAGTGGATGATGCAATGCTTTAAATCACCATGACATGTGAATGGATGACTCAATACCTAACCCACCAACAATTCCCACTCTTTGCCATGCTCACCTACTCAATTCCACCAAAATTTTGTGTTAAACAAGTCCATCCTCTTCCTATAAATACCATGGTAGCAACCTCATTCAAATCATCAAAAAATTAACCATTCTCCAAGCCTTTCCTTGCCTCTCCTACATATCTAAACCCCTTCCCATCCATTCCTCAAAATAACCAACCCTTCAACATCATTCCAACCTTGTTGTTGCGGCAAAGAGAAGGAGAAAAGTCCTTGGACGCGCTTGCTATCCAACATGGATCGTTGGAACGTTTAGGTGCTTTCTTTCCTTTGTTTTTCAATGTTTAAATTTGTTTATCTTTGTTTTGTAATAATGAGGAACTAAACCCCCCTTAGCTAGGGGGGAATTCGAAACACACATGTCCTTGCTTGCAATATGATTTAATTACTTTTAATTGCGTTTCATAAGTTATGAATTCAATTTACTTATCCGTTCGTATAAAAACTGATTTATGTATGTTGATTGAGGGTCGACACTTAGTTTGCATGCATGAATTTGATGCTAGAATATAAGGGAGTTTCACCTAATTGTCATGAACTTATATTCACAAGTAGTGAAGGTTGCTAGTCACAATCGCGTTAAGTAAAATCTTGGCAAGAGTAACATGTGTATTCCATAGTTATGAATGCCTCGTCAATGCTTATGATTTTCATAGAACTTAATGATTCTTGCTTGTATCTCTATTATGCAATTCATGTAGGGGAACTTGTGAAGAATGCTTTGGGTTGTCGTATGCAATCATCCAACTCAATAAAAGTAGGAAAATCTGAGGGTTAATTTAAGCGTACCTAATTAACTTGGGGCATTGAGAATTAATAAGTTATTGAAATGCAATTGGAAATCATTTTGTATGCAAGCGAGACATGTGTGGAGAAGAACCCCTTAGCTAGCCTTCCATCCATTTATTTAAACCAAATTCGTTTTAAAACTTGTTTTGTTTTCCAAAGTTTATGTTTTGTTTCTAAATTCATCAAATCCAAATCCCCCTTTACTTTTAAAGTCTTTTATTTACATTTATAACTTTGTTTTTATGTTTTTTTGAGAGGATTTAGCAAGCCCTCCTAATCCCCGGCCTAGAACGATACCCTACTTACATCTATACTACAATTGTCGAAAAGAGGGTTTAATTTGTGTGTCAAGTAATTCTCACACCATTCACCTAATAGTTATGAACTTATATTTACAAGTAGTGGAGGTTGCTAGTCACGATCGTGTTAAGTAAATTCCTGACAAGAGTATCATGTAGTTCATAGTTACGAATACCTTGTCAATGCTTATGATTTTCATATAACTTAATGATCTTTGATATGCATCTCTATTATGCAGGTCATGTAGGGAACTTGATAAGAACAATTTGGTTGTGTCACTGAGTCCAATTCAATGAATTTAGGAAAATCTGATGGTTAATTTGTGCAGTTCATGGTTAACTTGGGGCATTGTCATTCATGGGTTATAGGAAGAATAATCGAAAATCGATTTGTATGTGTATGTGTCATGTATGGAGAAGGACCCTCTAGCTAGCCTTACACCCCTAAAAACATCCAATTTCGTATTAACTTTAGTTTGTTTCTGCAAGTACTTAGTTTTAGTCTTAAATTCGTCAAAAACCACTCCCCCCCCTTTATATTTCGTGTCTTTTAGTTAGAATCTGTCCAATTTGGTTTCTTTTCATTGTTTTGAGTCTTTTTAGTTCAATTTTCGTGAAAACATCCCTTTAGTTCTTGTTTTGAGTCAATTTAACTTAGTTTGTGTGTTTTGAGTCAGTTTAGCCTATTTTGAGTAGTTTCAGTCTAGTTTTCTGTTTTAAGAGTCGAGTTAAGTGTACTTGAGTCTATGAACCCGGTTAGATTTTGTCGTTTGGACAAGGGTGTTTTGGTCTTTACCAATGGACTGATCAGTGGCAATGGTGCAATTTTGGTGGTGAAGCAAGGGTGTTTTGTGTTTCAGAAACTGAAGCAAGCGTTCGCAAAGCAACTGAACCTAAGATCAAGACAAGTGGAAGTTTGGTTTCAGAACAAAAGGTCAAGGTGAGAAATTTCTTCACTGAGCAAAGGGTGAAATTATCTTTTAAGCAAGCACGGCCGTCTCATCCTCATCATCTTCTACTGCTACGACTTGCTCCACAACTCTTTCAAACGACCCAACCCATCAAAATGATCCGCCTAATTTCCAACTGCCTATTCCCATCAGGCCATGGGCCAAACTTCCGATCAAACATCGACCGCTTGATGCATCCGCCCCTCGGTCATAATTTCTGGTTCGAAGTAGAGGGATCATAGGAAAACTGATGACTTGGAAACATTTTCCTCATTAGACCATCTCCAATGGTGGCTTATAACCTAAAATTCTCTTCCCCCCCCCCCCAAAAAAACCCACTCCAACCCAAAACCTAAAAGGAAGGCAAATATCAGCCACAATTTAGCCCACAAAATAAAATGGGACCCACGGGTGAGAGTGAAAAGTGGGCTGTGCAGCCCCAAAACCCAACTCGCCTCACACGCCCTCTTTCTTCCAGCCGAAGGCCCACCCCCGTGGGTTGGTCCCCTCTGCTGTCTCGTGTACCCACATATCCAACGAAGTATTTTCATCTCCGCTACACACGTTTTGTGTGCGTTTGATTCTTCACCACCCAACATTCCATGCCATAAAGCATTGCTTGCCTTATTGTCGTCCTATAAAATTTTCCTTAAGCTTTAGTGGCTTATGACAGTCGCACAACACACTCGATGCACTCTTCCACTTCATCCACCCAGCTTGCATTCTATGATTGAGGTCACCATCCAATTCTCCATTCTTTTGCAAGATAGATCCTAGATAGCAAAAGCGTTCATTATTTGGTACTTCTTGATCTCCATTCGTCACCATAACTCATTTGAATATTCATTCCACTGAACTACACTTCATGTACTCTGTTTTTTATCTATTTAGGCAGTGACCTTTAGATTCCAACACTCCCTTCCAAAGGTTAAGCTTCACATTTATTTCCTCCTGAGTTACATCTATCAACATTGTATCACATGCAAAAAGCATATACTAAGGAAGACAAGAGGCTTGAATCAAGTAAGGTGTATCAAA